AGACATGTTTTCGTAGCCTGCACATTATATCACATAACAGAGCATGTTTATTATACCAAAACTGTGCTGTTTTATCAAATGCCAAGATCCTGCTTATTAGAAATTATTTGTGTGTGCTAGTTCCTGCTGTTGTGGCAGTACAAGCGAGTTTATTAATCCGAAGCAAAAAATAAAGATAGACCAAAAAAAAAAACATTTTCTTTAGATTTTAGAAAAACAGACTTTTCTAAAATTAGAATATGCGTACAGGAGTCATTATCAGAATGGAGCAGTTTAAATGTAGTCCAGGAGAAATGGGATTATTTAAATGTTGCACCACTAAAGGCAACAGAAAATTGCATTAGGCTCGTCATTAAAGGACCATTATAGTGCCAGGAAAACAAACTTAGGTCCCCCCACCCTCAGAGCCACCCCTTCAGCCACTTACTTTTCTCCAGCGCTGGTGACCTCTCCTCCCCCTGCCGACATCCAAATGCGCGGCGAGAGCCGCACGCGCTTTCAACCCACTCACAGGAAAGCATTACGGAATCACAGAAGCGCCTGTAGCGGCTGTCAGAGAGACAGCCACAAGAGCAGGGGTCTTCAAACTCCGGCCCCCCAGATGTTGCTGAACTACAACTCCCATGATTCTCTGGCTATCTATGTAAATCAAATAATCACGGGAGCAGTAGTTCAGCAACATCTGGGGGGCCGGAGTTTGAGGACCCCTGCATTAGAGGCTGGATTAACCCTCAGTGATAGATAGAAGTTTTCAGCTGCAGGGTTAAAACTAGAGGGTCCTGGGACCCCAAACCACTTCATTGAGCTGAAGTGGTCTGGGTGCCTATACTGGTCCTTCAAGAGCAAAAAAGTGGTACTCCGCAGAAGTGGTCAAAATAGTTAAATGAATAAATAAATAAATAATATAGGAAGATAGACAGATCTATATGATTAGGCAGAAAGAGGCAAAGAATGTTATAAGCGCTTCCAAGGCACACACAGAACAGAAAATAGCCCAGTCAGGGGGAGAAAACATTTTTACCTACATAAATGAAAAAAGAAAAAGTAAAAGAAGGGAGGTATGTAGAAGAGAATAAAAGTATAGCCTCAATAAATATTTTTGTTCAGTATTTACAATTAGGAAAAAAAAAAAAAAAAGACTGAGTCATTGTGTTACATGTGAGTTTACAGAGGAAGAGGGTTTATTTTATCTGTAAAGTAAAAGACAAATAAGTCTATGGGGCGTGATGTGATCATTGTCAACGTGAGTAGTCACAGAAGATTGAAAATTAGCGAATGTTGTGTCAATTCACATGAAAGTTAGTAGGGTGGAGTCAGGCAACTATAGACCAGTAAGCTTTACTTCAGTATTGGGGAAAGTAATGGAAACTATGTTAAGGGATAGGATTGTTGAACATCACATGGATTTCGAAATCAGAGACAACATGGGAGATCATGCCAAACTAATCTTATTGATTTTTTTTGATTGTGTAACTAAAATAATAGATCAGGGTGGTGCAGTAGAAATTGCTTGCCTAGATTTTAGTAAGACTTTTGACACTGTTGCACATAGAAGGCTTATCAATAAACTGCCATCTTTAAGTTTGGATTTCAATATTATTGAATGGGTTAGGCAGTAGCGGAGTGGCAGGCAACGGAGGGTTGTAGTCAATGGCGTATATTCAAAACAAGATCTTGTTACCAGTGGGGTAACTCAGGGATCTGTACTTTTACAAGTGAAATTGCAGGAGAGCTTGATGGTAAAGTACAGTACCTTGGAAAAGTATTCACCCCCCCCTTGACTTTGTACCTATTTTGTTAAATTTCAGCCTTACGTTCAATGTTTTATTAATCTGAATTTTATGTGATGATCAGAACACAATAGCCTAAGTTGGTAAAGTGAAATGAGAAAAATATACACGGCAAACTTTTTTAGGAATAGAAAACAGAAAATTGGCATGTGCGTATGTATTCACCCCCTTTGTTATGAAGCCCATAAAAAGCTCTGGTGCAACCAATTACCCTCAGCAGTTTCATAATTAGTGAAATGATGTCCACCTGTGTGCAATCTACGTGTCACATGATCTGTCATTACATATACACACACCTTTTTTGAAAGGCCCCAGAGGCTGCACACCTAAGCAAGAGACACCACTAACCAAACACTGCCATGAAGACCAAGAAACTCTCCAAACAAGTAAGGGACAATGTTGTTGAGAAGTACAAGTCAGGGTAAGGTTATAAAAAAAAAATAGCCAAATCTTTGATGATCCCCAGCAGCACCATCAAATCTATCATAACCAAATGGAAAGAATTTGGCACAACAGCAAACCTGCCAAGAGACGGCCGCCCAACAAAACTCACGGATCGGGCAAGGAAGGCATTAATCAGAGAGGCAGCACAGAGACCCAAGGTAACCCTGGAGGAGCTGCAGAGTTCCACAGCAGAGACTGGAGTATCTGTACATAGGACAACAATAAGCCGTATGCGCCATAGTGTTGGGCTTTATGGCAGAGTGGCCAGAAGAAAGCCATTACTTTCAGCAAAAAAACAAAAAAAATTGCACATTTTGAGTTTTCGAAAAAGCATGTGGGAGACTCCCAAAATGTATGGAGGAAGGTGCTCTGGTCTGATGAGATTAAAATGTAATTTTTTGGTCAAAGAAAACGCTATGTCTAGCACAAACCCAACACATCACATCACCCAAAGAACACCATCCCCACAGTGAAACATGGTGGTGGCAGCATCATGCTGTGGGGATGTTTTTCAGCAGCCGGGACTGGGAAACTGGTCAGAATTGAGGGAAAGATGGATGGTGCTAAATACAGGGATATTCTTGAGCAAAACCTGTACACTCTGTGCGTGATTTGAGGCTAGGGTGGAGGTTCACCTTCCAGCAGGACAATGACCCCAAACACACTGCTAAAGCAACACTTGAGTGGTTTAAGGGGAAACATGTAAATGTGTTGGAATGGCCTAATCAAAGCCCAGACCTCAATACAATAGAAAATCTGTGGCCAGACTTAAAGATTGCTGTTCACAAGCGCAAACCATCCAACTTCAAGGAGCTGGAGCAGTTTTGCAAGGAGGAATGGGCAAAAATTCCAGTGGTAAGATGTGGCAAGCTCATAGAGACTTATCCAAAGTGACTTAGAGCTGTAATTGCCGCAAAAGGTGGCTCTGCAAAGTATTGACTTTAGGGGGTGAATAGTTATGCACAATGACTTTTTCTGTTATTTTGTCCTATTTGTGGTTTGCTTCACAATAAAAAATAAATAAATAAAAAAGTCATTTATAAAAAAGAGTTGTGGGCATGTTCTGTAAATTAAATGATGCAAATTCTCAAACAATCCACGTTAATTAGAGGTTGTGAGGCAACAAAACTTGAAAAATGCCAAGGGGGTGAATACTTTTGCAGGGCACTGTATGTATTTTTGCTGATGATACAAGATTTGCAACAGGATTGTTCCAGGGTGGATAAGCCAAATGGCCAATGATTTTGGTAAACTAGAAAAATGGTCAGAGCTGCGGCAACTGAAATTTAATGTAGATAAGTGCAAGATAATTCATCTTGGACGTAAAAACCCAAGGGCAGAGTACAGCATATTTGATAGAGTCGTAACCGTGTGTCTGCCCTGTCCCTCATCCCAACTAAACTAGGCTCCACCAGGGTCTCCTGTCTCAGGACAGCAGGGTCAGTCCAGGCAGTCTTAGTCAGATCAGGGGGGGGTTTGGTCTTACCAGATCTTTTGCCGGAGTGGAAGTGTCACCTTCGTATATAGTGGGTTGAATGGAAGGGTTCACTACAAGTGAATCATTGACTCTGACAGCGGCTGCTGGCACCCTTGTTACAGCTTCAGAGTGGGTGCCAGTGCCGTCCTGTGGTAGAGATGCCGGAACAACTGGGGCACTTTCTGCATCTCATTGGTTGCTGGCAAAGTGGCTGAGTACTAACTGTGGCTGAAAGGGTTACGCAGTCCTTTGCTTTAGCCCCTTGAGCCTGGGTTACAACCTGGACGAAGTAGCTCTCCTTGGGCCCCAGGTCGTTCCCCAATAACACATCTACAGGAAGGCCTGGCAGCACTCACACCACCCTGTATCCACAGCCAGCCCCAGTCCAGCCACACATGGGCCATAGAAATAGCAAGTAGCCCTCTGCAAGCAACGGCAATCACTTTGGACACCTCGCAACAAATGAGGCTTAACAGTAGTCAAGAATGCCCCGGTGTCCCGCAGTCCTTCTGCATGGATGCCATTTACCAGCACTCGCTGGCGGTGGCGGCAGCTTAGGTCATCTCTGGGCCACTGCGTGGTCAGTACCTGAGTCACTCCCAGGGGCAAGTCTGAATAGTCCTGGTCCACCTCCGCTTCCTCTACTGTCCCAACATATTCCTCAGGACCCCACTCTCCCACCATCTGGACCGGTGGAGCTGGATGATTAGCATCACTGGCCTGGGAGGGACAGTCTCACAAACAGGCTGGTGCCCCGCTGCTCCCTTTCTGGGAAGTTGACCTTGGCATTGGCCTCCGACCGGGGACACCAGTGGGGTGCATAGCCCGGTCTGCCTGTGGGACATTTCTAGATTCCACAGTTTGAACAGGGGCTGCTACCACCGTCCGCGGCGTCGGCACAAACACAGGTGTTGTAGGATTCTGTCCCGGAAGAGCAATCCTGGGGACTCCTCCATGAGGCTCACGAAAGTGCTGGGCTAACTTCGCAGCGGCTGTAGTGGGCTTCTGGCCCTGGGTCCATTGTCCGAACTCAGATGGCAAGCGGTGGTTAAATTGCTCCAGCAGCATGATCTGCTTACAGTCTTCCCAGGAGTGCACCTTACTCCTGGTCCACCATCCCTCAATGCAAGTGTCAACCACCAGACACTCTGGGTAGGTGCCTTCTGGATCTCCCAGAACTTTACCCTGTAGGACTCTGGGGTGACAGAGTACCAGTCCAGCACACCTCGCTTCATGACTTGGTAGTCCCCCAATTTCTCTCTTGGAATAACTCTGCAGGCCTCCAGAGCTCATCCTCTCAGTCTCCCATCCAGTACCAGCACCCAGTCATCTGGCGGCAAGCGAATGAGCTCACATTGCTGCTCAAAGTCCTGCAGGAACCCATCTACATCATCCAACAAAGCTGTGCACTGACACTTTGAGACGGTACCCTCTGTCTGGCCAAATGGGGAGACCCTGGCTGCGGTCTCATTCACCTGGTGATCACGATCCTCCTGGGCTAAGTCCTCTACTGCGATTGCTAGCAGCTCCCTAAGGCTTACTTCGCCACCTGTGTCAACCCTGAAGTTCTGCATTCTCTGGACCAGTCTGATTGCTGGGTTGACATTGCAGGAGCGATGCTGTGCCTCTGGTTGTGGTTCAGACACTCCATTCTGTTGCTCAGCCATGTTGCGTCCCTCAGCAGCGCTCTGAGCTCTGGTGTGCATATCCAGTCAACTTTTTTTTTTTTTTATTATAATTCTTTTTTTATTGAGAGATTTTTCATAATTATACATATAACATTTAATCTGACAATGTGTGGTCTTTATAAAAGTTAATAGAATGTTGATACGTATACAAGTTTAGAGACAACAGATATTCATATTACATAGACCAGAGAAAAAAAAAACAGAAATAATTATATCCACGGTAAGAAAGGGGAAGGGCCTAATGTACTCCCACACTCCTCTTCTCATCAGTTACATAAAGGTTGTTCTGAGGGAAAGAATAGTTATTTTTATAAGAAAAGGGAAAATACCATTGGATCTATTAATATACCAATATTCCATGATCATTAGTATCAATATTAGATTAGATTAATCTGGGGAAATTCTATTTAACCATTCCTTCCAAATTGAGAATTTTTTTTGGTGTAGAGATTTATGCATATAATCTATCTCCATTTGTATTTCGGATATCAGCTTTTTTTATTTTGCGTTATACCAATTTTGTATATTAGTTGATTTACTAATATTTATTTTAATTTTAGTTAAATTTGGTAGCCATTTATAAGAGTCAGACCATATTCCCTTGATTTGGTGACACTCGCACCAGATGTGCAAATATGTCCCTCTCTCTATTACATGTCCAGCATATATCTGTAAAAGTTGGGGAAATATTTGCATTTCTGGTCGGGACCCATTACCATCTTTTGGCAATCATAATGTATTTCCAACAGATTTAGACAATGAACATTTGATGAGATGCTATCTAATGTTTTATTCCATTCTTCCTTGTCTATATGCACTCAGATCTTTCTCCCATTTAAATATTGGTGACGTTTTAATTATTGGATCTATAGCTTGTATTAAGGTTCTTGCTCTAGAAAATACTTTATTCACTTTTGAATAGTTAAATATCAGTTGTAACATAGTAATGAGATTTGAGTTATTATATAAAACATGTTTACCTGATATATTCTTAACTCTTAAATAGTTGAAAACCGGAGAATTAAGATAAATTAAAGTGTTCTTCAAAGTTCTGGAAAAGATTTGATTTTGTCCTTATTAATCTGTTGTTTAACAAATAGGATACCCTTTTGATTCCATGAGTTTAGGTCTAGATCTGTTGTTAATAGTTCTATGATCTAAATTTTTGTAGACAATATTATTTTGTTTGTTACTCCCAATTCTTTATTAATTTTATTCCATGCTTCTAATAGTTGTTTTAAGATTATGTTATGTTTCAGCGTATGTGTGGTATACTGATTATTTTTTTAAATTCCATACCGTCAAGGATAAATCTCAGTTTCTCAATTAATATTTTTCTGTTTCTTGCCAGCCTTCTAATTCAGGAGATTTTATTTGCAACCGGTAAAAGTGTGTAATTATACTTGAATGGTAAATATTTTTAATATTTGGGAGATTTAGACTTTTTTGGGGGGCAGAAGTTTCCTGTTTAACCTAGGTGGTTTACCCTTCCAAATAAAAGTTTGTAAAAGTTTATTGTAGCATAGTAAGCCATAAATTCGGTATGTGTAAGGGTAACATTTGAAAAAGATATGGCCATCATGGGAGGATGTAGGAATGAGTTAAAATTAATCCGTCCCCACCAAGATAGTTCTATATTCTTTTAATAGATGATTTGTTGATCTTCATAGCTCCATAAAATGTATTTTCATTACGCTAGTTACATCTTTAGTTATTTTCACTCCTAAATAGGGGAAGTTTTGATTCACCCAGTAAAATTTATACTTTATCATTTCATTTATAACTTCTTGTTTCATATTTATAAATAAAATTTGATTTTTCTTAGTTTATTTTATAATTCCATATTATGCTATAATTTTGTATTTCTTCAATAAGTTCTTTAAGTGATTCTCTTGGATTTAAAAAGTGTCAGTAGGACATTATCTGCGTATAGATTTATTTTTTAGTTGTGCAAGTCCTATTGGGAATCCTTTTTTTTTTTATTATTTCCAATTTTCATTGCAAAAGGTTCAATTGATATTATGTATAGTAATGGAGAAAGTGGACATCCTTGTCTTGTTCCATTTTTTAACAGGAACTAAATCAGTAGAACTCACTGTTCTTGCTGAAGGGGGATGGTACAACAGCATGATTGCCTTATAAAGCCAACCCTGTATTACAAAACTTTTAATAGATTTGCTCATGAACCCCCAGTTGACTGTCATCTCCATTCAACGTTTGCCTCTTCATATCACAGTACAGCAACAAGTTATCCCACCTCTGCCACCAGTTTGTGACAATACAAACTAATATCATCCGTGGGTGCTTCCACTAAGTTGCACAGTTGATTACTATACTAAGTGCAACGACCTGTGCTTGGAGTCCCTTTATCCACCAGCATTCACATTAAAGCAAATCTTGGATAGTTACAGCAAGGAAAGAGACAACCAGCTTCTTTCTTTGTACAAGCAGCAACAACCTTTATTTTCAATAAGCAACTGCCTTTATTTGGTGCCAGCGCTTCAGCTGGGTAGACTGGAGCACAGTCTTGCCCTGTAACAACGGGATAGGTAGGGCAGAGGCCAGCGGTGCTTTGCCCGGATGCCAGCGCTTCTGCAGGGGTAGCCTGCAAGGAGTCAGGCTCTGGACAAGGCGAAAGAGAAGGGCAGAGGCCAACTGCGCTCTGCCCAGATGCCAGCTCTTCAGCTGGGGGGACCGTGGCATAGTCCTGCCCGGTGGCAAGGGGACCATTAGGGCAGAGGCTAGCGGCGCAATGCCCTGCAGCCAGCGTTACAGCTGGGTAGGGAAGTGGGTAGTTAGTTCATGGATCACCGACCAGGGGAGGACAGAGGCTAACTCTGCTCTGCCCGGATGCCAGCACGTATCGGAGACTCATCCACTGCCTCCCAGGACTCTGTTGGGAATTAGCTGGGGAGAGGAGGGCTCGCTTACCTCCTCCTGGTATCCCTGCAGATCTGGACCGGCCGTCCAGCATCCCTGTAGGATTGGCACAGAGACTGCTGTCCCATCGGCGCCAGTGGGGTTAGGGTCGTTTTCCCCCTGTAGTTGAGGTGAGGGACCAGTTGTACCCTCTCCCTGTATCTCTGGCTGCTATGGAAGGGTGAGGCCAGTTGCCTCCACTTCTCAGGACGTTAGTTGCTGTAAGGTAGAGGGATCGATTATCTCCTCCTCCTGGAACTCAGGCCGCCACTGGGGAGAGAGACCGGTTGTCTCTTCTCCCTGCAAAGTATACTGCCGCTGGGGAGTAGGACCAACTATCCCTACTCCCTGAAACTCCAGCTGCAGCTGGGTATCTGGGCCGACTGCCCAGCATCCCTGTGGGGCAGGTGGTGAAACCTCGGTCCCATCTTCACCTGCCATATGTGGTTCCCCCCAGGACCAGTCTATTAAGGTCCCCTACCTCTGTAGCTGGTAGTGAAGTAGGGGATACCTCAGCAGGGTCTTCCCCACCGCAGGGTTTTAAGTCTGGGACTGCCACCCAACTCTCCTGCAGGGTATTCTGAATTGAGCAGAACAGATGTCGATAGTCCTGCTCCAGCTCCCAGGCCAGGGCCATCGCAATCATCACACTTAGGGCTGTCGTGCTCCGCCGGGGTATACCAAGCTGTATACCACCAGAGCGCCTGGTACGCGTCCTTTAGCCACAGCTACTGTCATACCTGGTACTCTAGCTCCTTCACCCACTCCTCCAGGGGCTGCTCTCCTAGGAGAGGCATCCGCAGGGCCATTTGCATCTGCCACCGCTGCTCCTCACTGGGGAGATGCTCACCCCACCGCCACTCCACGTCCTCCAGGGCCGCACGCCAGACTGCTTTCCGGCATGCATCCCTGTAGTCTGGGTTGTCCACCTCCTCGTAGTGGATCGCTGTCCAGGAACTGCCGCAGTCAGGGGCACTGTACGGGGACAAGCGTTGCCCTAATTATAAATCCACGAACTTTACCTCGCACTAGGAAGTCATCCCACCGCTTGCCACCAGATGTGATGGACCCTCCATCAATCGATGCTCCTAGTGCTTACAAAGGACCATCAGCAGTGCACCAGACACCATAAGCATTGCAGATCCCACGAACCGCCGCAGCTGGGAACTTGCCATCCTCTACCGACCCTGGACCTACGACAAGGCTCCAGGTTCCAGTGGGTGAATCTCTCCTCCAAGAGATAGTAACAGGAACAAGCTCTTTAAAAAGAGTTTAGTGATTATAGCCCAGGGGAGTATACAGAATATAGCAATCCCCCAGTGCAGACGCAGCCTTTCCCTCCCACACATGAGACGAGGCTCTATGTTGAGGGTAAAACAGGAACTCAGCAGATCTGAGTGTTTATTGAACAGCTTGGTCTTTTATACAGTTTTTCCCTACAAGGTTACCACACAGGTGTACCTTGTGGGGCACAGGGACACAGGAACAACAAGCCAATAAAAAAAAACAGTTTTACATTCAGTCACTCCCATACAGTGTACACAATCCCTCCCCTCTGCCTGTTATATCATTAACTAAGACAATGGACTAACTCAATTAACTCTAAGCAGAAAAAAAAAAAAATAATAATAAACATTTTTACAAACCCTAAAATACAACATATCCCCACAAAAGTCACATCCCCTGATAGCCCCGATCTGGGTAAACAACATATCCAAAAATCACCCAGATCGGTTCAGAAATTTCCTGGAAGTCTTATTTTTTTCCCCACCGTGCACATGGTCCCATGCCCAAAACAGTTCCATACACTTGACGACAAAACACCGCAGACAATTTAAGATGACCGCCGCCACATGTTTGAAAGGGGCATTGTGTTAAGTCCCAATATGCACATATAGTGTTTCTAAAAGGCAATACATCCCAGGGGACATAGTCACAGGGTAAGAGACTGGCAAGCAGGCCTCTCCAAAACACAGTGGCGAGGTTACTTTCGCCACAGCGGTGTTAACACTCACCGGGTCTGCCTCGGTATTTGAGGCAGACTGGAATCACCCGATCGC